TTAGAAGGCGCAGCTTCAGAAAGTATGAATATTCTGTTTTAGTGCCTGTCTAATGCTTGTTTATTGTTGCTATCCTATTGTATCAAAATGAGCTCTCTTAATATAGTAAAATCTTTTTCTACTGAAGGACAAGATTTACTCTGCCACACCAGTGCACATTCTTTTTTAATGGAAAGAGATGTAGATGTAGTCACACATTAAGCATTTGCATGTAGCTCTATCACAAAGCATATTTTACATGCATTTCCCTTGGAGCTGCCTTCAGGAACAGAACTTGTTTTAAGTAATTATGCTCTTGCGTATGCTGTGACAGCAGCCAGCAGAGTGTCATCTGCTGAAATACAGTTTCAACTTGAAATGATTGTGAAGATCCAGTCATTTTCAAACTGTTTAAGCGTGTATCCATGACTCCTCTCTCTGCAGGTTATTGAAGCAAATTAGGAAAGTATTGTTTTGCTGTGATAGACAGTGTGTATGTGTCCACGTCTTGTATTCCTTACATTGTGGGGAACAATTATATATCAATTTCAGTCAATTTTGACACTGTGGGGAGATTTTTTGCTCTTCATTAGAAAAACAGCTTAGAAACCACACAGAATGAAGTATTTTAAAATGCAGATTGACTGATGTTGTGAAGGGAAATTATAGTAAAAAATAAACTCTTCGGGCTCTATTTTTTAAGATCTAGGTGCAAGGCTAGCACATGCAGCATTAGAGCTGTACCTGAATCCACTTTTGTTATTTTAAAGATAAAAAAAATAGGCTCTGTCTTGCATGGTCTAATGGGGTTGTGCTTATTCTCTTAATGAGTTACAGGTGTGTTTGCAATATAACGTGCATTAAACCAGTCTTAGTCTTTTTTTGCTTCTCTTGGTTTTTCCTCTTATTAAAATGTTTATTAAAATTGTTCTATAACATTTAAATTTGGGTGTATTAGTTTTTGGAGCATTATTGTGAGTTATTTTATTAGATAAGCTCCAGATTTGTTTTTCAGTACTATCTAATCTAATGCACATGCACAAATATAACATTGTATAGCTTCCTATAAAAAATAATATTAAAAAAAAAATAGATTTGTGAGGGGTGCATTTATATATGCTGAGCACTGTATATTGTTTACCCAGAGTGTTTACATGGTCATAATACAGCTAGTAATGAAACAAGCGTTACGTTTGGGATAGCTTTTGCAGCTGCAGATTGCTTTGGCCTTGATGGGTGAACATTAGCCAGTGGGGGAGTGTCTTTTGTCTCACTAGGTGTGAATTATTCATGACTATGACAATGGTCCCATGCATTCAGCTGAGAC